CAAGATGGATGAATCGGTCAGGTCTCCGTTAATTTTAATTCTAGATGTTGGTTTAGTTTACATTGATTTAAATGTGTCAGTTATTGTTGAATGAAATCCACATTCTGAGGTCACTTTATCTAAAATCGCCCATCCCACCCAATCAAACGCTTCCCCTGCGTCTAATATCAGTGCCTCTAGTTGTTGCTGTGATTCCTCTCAGAATGTTTTCCTGATATTATCTCGGGTCGGTCTTTGTCTGACGAAGCCAGTCTGGTCTTTGTGTATCAGAGCCGTTAACATGACTTCTATTCTTTCTGATAATATGGAGGTGAACAGTTTATAGTCGTTGTTTAGGAGACTTACAGGGCGATAACTCCTGCATTAGTTGTCTTTCCCTTCCTTGGGTGTGATTGAAATCACCGCCTCTCGCCATGAGGGGGGGGGGGGGTTATTTTCTAAAACCCAGCTGAATGTTTTCTCTAATATAGGAATTAATTTTGTACCATTCTGCAGTGAATCCATCTGTTCCTGGAGATTCTCCGTTCCTGGTTCTCCTGATCGCTGATTAAATTTCCTCTTCTTTAATTCTGGATATTAATTTCTTATTTTGTTCATCAGTGATCGTTGGCTGATTGATCTTTTCCAGGAAGGTATTGATCTGGCTGTCGCTCTTGTATTTGGTTGGTATTTAGTGTTTTATAGTATTTTTGGAAGCAGTTTTTGATCTCTTCTAGATTAGCTTCTATTTTCTTTGTTTCTTATTTTGTGTTTAGTTCTGTTGGCTTGTTGTTTTCTTAACTGATGTGATCAAAGTTTCAGGGATTTTCTGTTTGTCTCATAGTGTTGGTGTTTTATAAAGGGAAGCTTTGTTTGGATTTCCTAACTGTTTATTTCTTCTATTTCTTTAGTTTTTAATGTTTGGTATTGTCATCTGTGGGAGACTTTGCATTTTCTCTCTGTAATCTTTTCAGATCCTCTTCTAATTCCTGCTGTTTTTTTCTCTGATTCTTTTCTCATGTGATGTTATGGATGATGTTACCTCTAATCGCTGCTTTTAAAGCATCCAGACTTTAGGAGGAGTCACTTCATCATTATCGTTTCTTTCTAAATATAAGTTAATGTCAGGTTTTAGTTAATCCTTGGTTTGGGTTCATAATGTTAGAGTCTCCACAGAGCGGACCTTCTCCTGTTATTCAGCTAGATGAGATCTATATGGATCCATTAGCTCACAGCTGTTTCCCCTAAAAAGATCTCCCTGCAACATGCAGCAGTCATCTATGCGGGAGTAGAGATGGTGAATAATCTGGTTTATTCTGGTTTCTTTCTCTCCAAACGTCCACCAGTCCCAGCTCACTCATCCAGGCAGCGGCGTAGGAAGCGGGGGGAACAGTGGGGACATGTCCCCCCCAATATAAAGGCCAGGTGGTGGATATTTCCCTCCAAAAAAATTGTACCGCAAAAAAAAGTAACATAGAAGTCAGGAACTTGTGAATGAGGTAAAATGGTCTGTCGGAATGCTGCTATGAATATTGCCTATTTTTTGTCATGATGGGCTAAGGACTTGACCCATACGCAGAACACTACTGGAGACTGAGTAAAAGTTTGAACAAAGTGTATTGAGAAACACACACAGAGAATGTAATGACTGGTTCAGGTGCTGGTCCGGGACTGGTTTCAACTCCTTTCTGAAGAGGTTCTGACAGATCCTATGAGAGGGGGAACCGGTTGGGTCCAGAGACAGTTGAAGAGGTAGAGAGTTAAGCAGCAGCAGTGTCTAACTTCGAGCTGGAGAGTTTTCCGACTTGTGTATNCTTCTACCTGGTAACTAGTGATGCAGCAGCAGGGGGCGGTTCTCCAGGTTCTAGCAGCAGCTTCTAGTCAGACTCAGTCAGTTCCTGGACTGAAGCTGATACAGAAACATGGATTCTTCATCGCTGCTCTGCTGCTGCTTCCTCCTCTTCATCATTGTCCCTGCTGGAGGTAGGATCAATAATCTGAACAATAATCTGATTTATATTTAAAAAACTAATCATTCATTATTAAACTGAAGTAGGAACCTTTATTTTATTAGACGGATTAATATCAGAAGATAATAATTAGTTATTATGATGTAAATTATTTATCTTTAAAGCATTTAAATCAATAAAATTATGATTCATCTGTTCATCACTACATAAATCCAATCTCTACCCAGTGAGCAGGTCTGAGGTTCTGTTCTGGCTCTGTTTCTCAGATGGGTTTGAGCTTTATGGAGTGGATCGTTGTGGGTTTACCTCCCCTGAGCTGAAGGACATCGAGTTCAGCAGATCTTTTTTTTACAACAAGTTGGAGCTATTCAGGTTCACCAGCAGTTTGGGGAAGTTTGTTGGATACACGGAGTTGGGGATCAAGCAGGCAGACTATTTCAACAGTCAAACTGCATATATTCAGGCAATGAAAGCTCAGAAGGAGACCTACTGCCTGCCCAGCGTTGGTATCGACTACTCCAACGCTCTGACTAAATCAGGTGAGTGTTTGTGTTGAATCTCCTCCTATTGATCCTCAGATCGTCTCTGACTGCAGATCATCATCATTTAAACCAATAGAAACTTCTCCTTCATCAGGTTCTGATGTTTGATTCACGCTTTTTAGTAAATTAAATTTTCTAACATATAAAATGCTGCAGCTTTATCTGTTTATTCAATAACTGTTTATAAATTATCATTCAGTCATTTTCATCTGCCGGACTCTCTGCTGCCAAGTTTATCTACCTAGCAACAGATGACAGCAGTCACATGATCACTGCCTTTTACCACTTAATAAGATTCAAGACATCCAGAGTACTAGTTATAACTTAACCGTTTATTCTTAATTTCAACAGTTTATGGATAAAATAGAAAACATAAAATTGTTTAACACTAGAACAGGTTATAATAACTAGTTAATGATCTATTATAAAATGTAAATTAGTTTATATTAATAATCTGCTGGGAATAACCCCATAAAACCTAAAATATCTAATATTACAGTGTTGTTGAAAATAAAAAAATGTTCTTGTCTTGATTGTGAATTCAATACATAATAAGAATGGCTTCATGAAAATACAACTTTTTATAAATAATATTTAAGACAAAAACGTTTTGTGTCCAAAAAGTGATGAATTTTAATTATTAATAATATTATAATTCGCTTATCACTGATTTAATGAACCCAGAGTTTATTACAGACTTGCAATAAATAGAAGCTTGTTTTTACTTTCACGCTACATAGAACCATAGAACCCAGGCTTATAGGAAGCAGTATGTGGACATATTAAAAATAGCCATTGTTTAGGAAAAAGAGAATGGATGAAGAAACAAAAGCAAGAAAAAGCAATAAGGCACATTAGCTACAAGCAGCACATACAAATACAGGATCCACAGCTGCAACAAACCCAAACCAGCGTTTTCCCAGAGGAGTTACATTCAGGAGCTACATGTTTGAATGCACACATTAATTTAGCAGTTTGGTCTTTAACATGTTTAGGCTGGTGCCCTTCAGGCACCATATGCCAATTTTATGTATCGTTTTGAGGTTACTTGTGTTACATGAATTTGATGTTTCATTTACATTAATGAGTGAAATTAATAATTTGAGTTAAAAATATGTACAAGTTAAAAATGTGAATTTAAAATATTTACAGGACGCTACTTAATGTGCCTTTGATGACGTCATATTTCTGCGCCAGGGGCCCAGTAAGATAGCTTAGGTAAAACTGACACGGGAGGTGGAAGGTTGGTGCCTTGGTGCCTGTTCTAAATTGATACCTTACTGTAAATAAATATTGCTGGAGATTCCCAGTAATTCCAGGTTGAAACCAGTGATTAATAATTCAGTGTTGATTTTTTACTCAAAATTTGATTAAAGTCACAATTCTTACCTGATTAACCTTGAAGAGGCTGGAGATTGATCGCTCTGTAGTTCTCCCTTCTTTTCCTCTCTTCATTTTCCCCAAATCCACAAACTCCTTATCAGTTATGTTGAAAAAAATGTGAATAAATCCTTGTCCACAAAAATCTATGTTCACATTTATGGATTTAAATCTAAAAAAATCAAACCTACCAGTATTTTAAATGTAAACAATAGATATGGAATAATACATTATAGCAAACAAGATCTTAAATCATATCATAGGTAATCAAATCAGTGTTAGTTTAGTCCGTCAAAGAGGCTGTCTGTAGGAATTTAAAATGTCCAGCAGGTGTCAGTATTCAGGGACACAGTATGACACAATCTAAATACAGTCTGCAAATGTTTCGTAACGCTTCATGATGCCTCATGAACCCACCACTAACAGACAATTATGGTCCCAAAGAAAAAAAATCCTCCAAAATAATCTTATAGCTATCAGGAATTCAATGAGGTTTTGTAAACTTTTCAAAGTTTCAAATAGGGCTTAAAGTTGTAGGGAAGTCATATTTAAATGTCAATTCATTCTGGCTTAAACAAGTATATAAATGTAAGCTTATGTATTTCATGTTTTGTAATAATCCTTACTTAAAATCTTTTTTTTTTTCTCGTTATCT